AAATAATAGTTAAAATTATTTCTATTATTATTTATAATGCAAGATGTTATAAATAATATTATTAAATTCATTGATGTAAAAGACTTGAAATTAAATAATTTTATTGAAGAATATAACGAAAATGATATATTAATTAATTTTGTTAATGACTTTAGAAATAGCAAAATTGATTTTAACATGTTTTATAATTCTATTAATTATGCTGATTTATTTGAACAATCAGATTTAAAATTCTATTGTAAAAGAATATATTCATATACTTTAAGATTTATTGCTAATTATGATAATAAAAATGCTATTCAGTTTTATGAAATTACATTGAGAAAAATGAATAATATTTACAAAAATAGTAACATTAATGTTGTTAATGTGTTTGAATGTATTAAATGTTTAATAATTTATATTACAAATAATATTGAAAAGTTTCATACATATTCAAAATTTAGAAAAACTATTATTTGTAATTTAATTGGTAAATTGAATAATAATTTAACGAGTTACACAATAACTAATTTTGAATTGACTTATAATGATATATGATTTTGTAAAATAAAAGTTTAGTTTTAAAAGTTTTATTTTATAATATAATATATATATTTACATGAATGAAGGATTAGAAAAGATTGTCAAAAAACTGAACAAGGTTTTAGAACAGAATAAGAATATTTTAGAAATCTTGCAAGAAATGGACAAGAAGAAACCAGTAACAAACAGTTATCAAAGTAAAGAAGTAGATAGAACCAATGCTGAATATAAAAATAAGAAACAAGTGTATTTAAACAAACTTAATAACAAAGAAATTAAAGAACCGAAGGCTTCAACTATGACATTTTATCAAATTGACTATGATGAGGAAACACAACTATATTCATAAAGTTGCATGTACTCATTGAAAACTAAACATAGTTTGTAACGAGGAATCAGGGATTTTTATTCATAGATAATATTATCTAAATATCTTTAATAATGAACTTATTAGAGATGTTTAGCGGGACAGGCAGTGTTGGACTTGTTGCAAAAGCAATGGGTTTCAATGTTATTTCATTATTGTAAATTAAGGGGTTAGACGATGGACATCGTGGGATTGGGTGATGGGAAACGTGGGATTGGGTGATGGGAATCGTGGGATTGGACGATGGGAATCGTGGGCTTGGACGATGGGAATCGTGGGCTTGGACGATGGGAATCGTGGGCTTGGACGATGGGAATCGTGGGATTGGACGATGGGAATCGTGGGATTGGACGATGGTGATAGCAATTAGAACAATGGGATGGTTTGAAAAACCAATAGGAAATAATATTTTTACAATGATAAGACGGATGATAAAATAATGAAAATAATTAAGAAGCATTATATAGCTGAGTTAATAAGTTGAACTCATAATATAATTATAACATGTAAAATCTTATATGTTATAATTATATTGAACTTATGGTTTGTTTCTTAATTTTACTTAATGCCTTAAAAATGACTTAAAGAAATAGTGCCTTAATATAATAAGAGGAAAATGAACGGTGATAAAATCAATAATTATATCAATAAAAAATGCTATGATTGTTGTCACTTCAAAAAAGAAAATATGGAATTGTATAAATTGAATTTACCTAATGAAACAGTGAATAATATTATTAATTATTCAATGGATGAAAAAGTCGAATGTGAAAATTGCCAGGAATGGAGAGATAATCAATTTTTAATCAAATGTCTGTTGAGAATAAAAGGAAGACATAATAGAAATGTAGAAGATGAGATTTTAATATTTCTAACTGTAAATAAAATACCACCTTATGATTATGTTAAACAGTTTCTTAAAATCAGTAAGAAAAAATATGAAATGATGGATGATATATTATGGTTGTTGTGTTATAGTCAAGATAAAGGAGAAGATGTTAAAGAAAATATCAAATTATTTATTGAAAGTAAAAAGTTTAATATTCAAAATACATTGAGAGATATTAATATTATTTTTAAAATGATGTATGAAAGAAGAAAGATTTGTCAATTAAATTATTATCCTGTACTGAAATTATAATCATACTATAATAATAACATGTAAAATCTTATATGTTATAATTATACTGTACTTATAGTTTGTAAAGATTGAAATATTTTAATTTTTATTGATTTGGCTGACTCTTTCAAAGTGCGTTGTTTGAACTTGGTATGCTCTTTTGATTTTTTCGTGCTTTGGCTGTTTGTATTTTATTTTGTTTGATACTCTTCTGATATTTTTTGATGGTATGTTGCTTTGTTTTTGATTTTGTGTGTTTTTGAGATTGGGTTCTTTGATGGTTTTTATTTTTGCTGTTTTGTTGGTATGCTTGTTTGAATTATTTAATGTTGTATGCTTTGATTAAATTTTTTGTTGGGGGTTGTTCTGGTTTTTGAGTTGCTTGGTGGTTCTTATCTTGTTTTCTGTGAATTTTGCTGATTTTGTTGTATGCTGTTTGATTATTTGGGTTTGATGTTAGAAGTGCCATTTTATGTATTTTTCCCCCACCCCCACCCCCACCCCCACCCCCACCCACCCCACCACCCCACCCCACCCCACCCCACCCCACCCCACCCCACCCCGCCCCGCCCCGCCCCGCCCCGCCCCGCCCCGCCCCGCCCCGCCCCGCCCCACCCCACCCCACCCCACCCCACCCCGCCCCATTGAATGTTGGATATGGATGTCCTGCTCACCTGAGCTGGGAGGCGGCGTGAAAACCCAACGGCCCCCCACAGTTTCCGGCTTCGCCAGGCCCCCAAGAAAGCGAAAAGAGGCGTCAAAGTTGCTGGGTCCTCCAGATTTGAGAGTCTTTTTTTGGTAGTCTATTTTAGTAGGGGAACCGAATCTCCCAATGGATGTTGGCATTGGCTTCTTCCCCAGCTCACGGGGCGAAGCTTTCTTCGGTATCAAAGTGGTTCCGCATCCCTGCATCCCTGCCATGGAGCACAGGAAATGGCAAAAAGTTTGCTCAGATTTTGCATGGAGGCTGACTGGCAGGTAAAGCCATACGATGGATCCTTGTTTTCTGGAAGCATTGGCCAATCCCAAACTGAAGCTTGGTGTCGGCCTGTACAAACTGAAGCTTGGTGTCGGCCTGTTCTACGTACTGTCAGGCAGAAGCCGCTTCTCCACAAACTGGACGCTCAAACTTCAGTGTGCTTGGCAATCCAGGCTCAGTATATAAATACCAGCCCTCACTAACCACGAATCCTGCTTTGTTGGGAGTCATGTGTTGACACTGCAGGTTGAATCGCGCATACAAGGTACTTCGTTTTATGTCCTTGCAGCTAGTCATCACCAGACGGAGCGTGGGGCTGTTGTGTTCATCGCAAGGCCGCCTCAGTTTGACGAGCGTCAGCATGGCCTTGCCGAACACTGTGTGCTAGCATCGGCTATGTAGCTGGTGTCTATGCATGCTTCTCCAGCTCAGCTGACCTTCATCAGCCGCTGCAGTTTGCATTTGTGTGGGACAGATTCCGCACCCAGCATGAGCCACAGTCAATGTTGACCTCAGAAAAATCGTTTTCTGCCACAGTGAATGTTCACCCAGCCTCCTAAAAAATGTTCGCAGTCAATGTTGACCTCAGAAAAATCGTTTGTTTGTTTTTTGCCACAGTGAATGTTCACCCAACCTCCTAAAAATGTTCGCAGTCAATGTTGACCTCAGAAAATCGTTTTTCTGCCACAGTGAATGTTCACTCAACCTCCTAAACAATGTCAATGTTGACCTCAGAAAATCGTTTTTCTGCCACACTGAATGTTCACCCAACCTCCTAAAAAATGTTCACAGTCAATGTTGACCTCAGAAAAATCGTTTTTCTGCCACAGTGAATGTTCACCCAACCTCCTAAAGAATGTTCACAGTCAATGTTGACCTCAGAAAAATCGTTTTTCTGCCACAGTGAATGTTCACCCAACCTCCTAAAAAATGTTCGCAGTCAATGTTGACCTCAGAAAAATCGTTTTTCTGCCACAGTGAATGTTCACCCAACCTCCTAAACAATGTCAATGTTGACCTCAGAAAATCGTTTTTCTGCCACACTGAATGTTCACCCAACCTCCTAAAAAATGTTCACAGTCAATGTTGACCTCAGAAAAATCGTTTTTCTGCCACAGTGAATGTTCACCCAACCTCCTAAAAAATGTTCGCAGTCAATGTTGACCTCAGAAAAATCGTTTTTCTGCCACAGTGAATGTTACCCAACCTCCTAAAAAATGTTCACAGTCAATGTTGACCTCAGAAAAATCGTTTTTTCTGCCACAGTGAATGTTCACCCAACCTCCTAAAAATGTTCAGTCAATGTTGACCTCAAAAATCGTTTTTCTGTGAATGACCTCCTAAAAAATGAAGTCAAACCTCAGTTTTTCTGCCACAGTGAATGTTCACCCAACCTCCTAAAAAATGTTCGCAGTCAATGTTGACCTCAGAAAATCGTTTTTCTGCCACAGTGAATGTTCACCCAACCTCCTAAAAAATGTTCGCAGTCAATGTTGACCTCAGAAAAATCGTTTTTCTGCCACAGTGAATGTTCACCCAACCTCCTAAAAAATGTTCACAGTCAATGTTGACCTCAGAAAAATCGTTTTTCTGCCACAGTGAATGTTGACCCAACCTCCTAAAAAATGTTCACAGTCAATGTTGACCTCAGAAAAATCGTTTTTCTGCCACAGTGAATGTTCACCCAACCTCCTAAAAAATGTTCGCAGTCAATGTTGACCTCAGAAAATCGTTTTTCTGCCACAGTGAATGTTCACCCAACCTCCTAAAAAATGTTCACAGTCAATGTTGACCTCAGAAAAATCGTTTTGCTGCCACAGTGAATGTTCACCCAACCTCCTAAAAAATGTTCGCAGTCAATGATGACCTCAGAAAATCGTTTTTCTGCCACAGTGAATGTTCACCCAACCTCCTAAAAAATGTTCGCAGTCAATGTTGACCTCAGAAAATCGTTTTTCTGCTCACGCCCGCATCTTATTTCCGGCGTTTTTCATATTTCCGGCTTCGAGGTGAGCTCCTTTTGGGAGGGCGGCGCGCTGGAGCTGGCCATCGGTTCTTCACAGCCGGGGCGCCAAAAGAAGTCGAGTGAGTCCAGCTCCCGCGCAGCACGTCGCAGATGGAACGTCCATGTGTTTTGGTGGCAATGGTGATGGGATGGCGATGGCTTCGGTGGTGTGCTTGTGACAGGGCGGTGCTGGTCAAAAGGAGCATTGATGACAGGGATGATAGCCATGAAATAACAGGCGCGTTTACGCTGCAGTACAGACGGATGGGCCTCCATTAGGCTTTGCAATCAAATTATACAGTTGTTTGTATTCTGTTTGTTTCCACCATCGGCGATGAATTGAAAGGAGACCTGCTTGCGCGGAGGCTTCAATTGAGATGGTCATGGCATGCGTGCAATTTAGTGCTTAGCTGTGGGGATACCAGCTCTTCTGGTTAACTACATGGATGCTGAGGGAGTCTGTAAACAGGTTGATGTGCGTGCTCCTCAAGTACTTGTCGCGGCGGTGCTGTTTCCTTCCTTGTGTCTCAAAGCACATCCCTGGCTTCCCAAATAAAGCATGCGCAGTCTGCGGTCGCACGTTTGACAGGTGCTGGACAATGGATCCGCTGGACAGAGTTCCGTTTGTCGATTACCCAAGGCAGACTGAAACACGGTGATTGCCCCAACGAGAAGCATTTGGCTCAGACGTGGGACGATCTCATGATGGTGCTGCTTTGCATGACAGCTGCTGTAAGTATATTCATGCATTTAATGTTTTTTAAAACGTGTATCTCTCTATATATATATATAAATAGTTACGGCGCGTATCTCTCTCTCTCTCTCCCTCCCTCCCTCTCTCTCTCTCTCTTGCTCTCTGGCGCGTGTGTCTCTGTATCTCTCTCTCTCTCTGTTTTCTTGCCATCCCAGCCCTGGCCGCAGGTATCATCGCAACTTCAACTTCATGGCCGACGACCTCTCGGAAGGCAGGGATGGCATCCGAGCGACGCGCGCCGGCCGTAGGTTTGGCGAAAAAAGAAGTGACGCCGTTTCAAGGAGCAAGGTGCCTTTGGGCTTCGCAGCACACATGGGTTGGCTTAAAAAGTTTTTGGATTTCTGGCTAACTGACGCTGGTGGCCTGCATTTTGGCGGCTGGCTGGCTGGTTGGGCAGGGTTGGTTGGCCGCATCTCCAGCATCACCGGCCTCGCTCAGGCCTACGGCTGCCTATTGGCCTTGGTGGCAGTTGAGAGTTGTTCGGGGCTGGTTTCGGGTGAGTGTTGTCCTCCTTAAGTTCTCAGCAAGCCCAACACTCACCCGAAACCAGCCCCGAACAACTCTCAACTGCCACCAAGGCCAATAGGCAGCCGTAGGCCTGAGCGAGGCCTGTAATGCTGGAGATGCGGCCAACCAACCCCGACTAACCAGGCCTCAGAAAACCGCCTGCCAAATGAAGCAAGGGTTTTGTGAGCCGGGGCTACGGGGCTCGTGTTGAAAACGATACCTCAACCGGCCAAGGCAGGAGGTGTTTCTGTCCATTCTTGTGGCGGAAAAGCCAAGCTCGAAGCAACATTGGTGGGGCAACATGGTCCGAATTCTCTTAGTAGAACTGTACATACACATGTGGCTATGAATTTTGGGGAACCACCTGAAAAGTGGTTGGTGGACATAAATCGCCACCAAAATGATGTCCACCAAAGGGCCCCCCAGGTAAAATTCATTCCCATGTGCACCACCCTGCAGCCAGATCTGCGCATTCTGCGCATTCACCGCGCTGCGGGTTCTGCAGATCTCTCCGGCTTCGTTTCAAGACTTGGCTGTGGTTGTCAAAACCGTTTTGGGATCCCATTTTGGTTGGTAGGTGAATTCACCACCCATTTTAGAACCTTGTTTAGTGGTTGGATTGGGATGTTCACTGGGGGTACGGGCTTTGGATTTTGACCCATGGCCACTTGGCATTCCTGCCGGGACTTTCACAACTCTCCGGGCTTTCTTCTCTGGAGGCAGTGCCGTACAGCCGTCCCAAAACGACCGTTGGCTGAAAAAGACAAGTCTCAAGTATCTACATTACCCTCCCACGCACTATGTAGACACGTGCTCAGTGCATGGTGGGGTCCAGGTTGGGTCCCAACAAGCTCGTTGGGTGTTCCATTGCGAAAGCAACGGTACCTTTCTCAAGGTTCTCAAGTTGGCTTGTCAAAGCAACGCCCAGATGGCCCAAATGCTGTGCTCAGGGAATGACCGAGTCCGGGTGTTGGGAATGAACCGGTTTTGGGGATTCCTGGAAAAAGGGAACCAAATCGGAAGGATGGTTTATAGTTAGGG